TCTGACGTGGAGTGAGAGTGAGTTCATATTTGTTCTCAGGGAAAGTTCTGTTCGATTCTAGAAGATCGGGAAAAGTGATTCCAGAGTTTGAAGAATGGAATCCGTTCAGGACGGATCTTGACGGGGAAAGGTCGTCACTCCCTGTTTGTCTTCATCTGCTGTGTCTTTCACCTCTCTGACACTGGAGTGTTATTGGACGTAGCCGCCTTGTGGAAAAAAAAAAAAAAAAAAAAAGGGTTCCCTGTGTCTCAAGATACTCTCCGAGTCCGATCGGTTTTCCAGCAAACGGGGATGAAAGGGGAAGAGAGTTGGAGGAGGCCTGTAATAACAGAGCAGCAGGAGTCATACATCAGCCTCACTCACCAACACAGCCCACTCCGGCTCCAAACTCCAGCCCCCAGACCATTTAACAGCACATTAGCTGCGATGCATATCCACTCAGAGTGAACATGTTTGATTCGCTCCTGCCTTTTCCCACTGACTCTCACTTCTCCATGACTTTGAGTTTTTTTTCTCTCTCCCTGTCATTCCTTTCCCCTCATTCCCATGCCTTGGAGTTTCTGCACTGATTCCCACATGCTGCTGTCACAGTGCAGTCACACTGGATTCTCAGAGCTTTTCAGGGGTTAACCTCGTGTCCCTGCTTGATTTTTATCATCATAGGCCAAATACAGCTGGACGGAGATCAGAGGCTCATGGAATCTGCTGTCTGGACTCAAAGGAACCTTCATGTTAGCCGTTCACTGCGTAGTTTGCCGTAAAGATGGCAGAGGATTGGCAGCGCTACAGTAACACATAAAGATATAGAACAGCTCACGTCCATGTCGTCACAACAGAGTTCCAGTGTTGTGGTCGATGGTGGAAATCTTTGGCCTGATATTAAAGGCATTCACTCGGAGCCGTCAGTAACGGGATTTAACCAAAACTGATTTTGTAGTTTTTAGTTATTTTTCATGGTTTTGTGGTTTGACTGAGTTGAAATACACAGAAATTCCACAGAATCAAAACTTTGCTCAGCTCAGGTTGCAGTTCATGTTTTCACCGATGCCTAAATGAGATTTGTGAAAATCCGATTTTTTACACTTTAGATTAATCAGTATTTAAAAGGAAAATGTAGCGGACACGTGGTGTCGTGGCTGTTGAAGGGATTTTCAAGTTGATATGTGAAACAAAAGTTAGCCTTTTCTCTTCATGAGGATAAAATACGCATCACACCCATCTGAGTGTCACGATCCTCCCACAGCCAGGACAGCGATAACAGCTGGAGTGAGGCGTCACATGATCAGTGGAGGTTCCTATATTTAGTCATTCATTAACAATTGAGGACAAATCAAATGACTTCTCCGTAATGTGCTGTGAACCATTAGAACGTTAATCTCATAATGACTTTGAAAGTGAGTTCCAAACATCCCTGATGAGAGAGAGCTCACAGATGTGACCCACATAGAGCAACATGACAGCAGAGAGTCCAGACCTGGATGTGGACTAGACCGCTTCTATCAAAAGTGTTCCTCCAAAACAAGGTTACAAAGAGCATTCCCTCATGTTGATATTATAAACCTCGACATGGAACAACTACTAGACTCCTCCTCCTCTTCCTCTTCCTCCTGCTCTCTGACATTCACACGTCCAGCCTCAACATCTGACCTCTAACCCCTCTCCACTTGGCTGACATTTTGTCAGTGAAGCCACTGAGCTGTGTCATTCCTTCATGTCTGACTTTTCCTCCTCTGACTTCCTTAAATCTGTCAAACCAGTTCAGGAGGAACATTTAGACTCTGATCGGTACCATGAAGTACTGCACCATGACTGAGAACCTACATTGACATAACTCACTGTGGTCTCTAAAGCCCCAAAGGTTCAAACGTAAATTTCATTTCTGTATCCCATACATGTAGGCCCCTACATATGGGACAGATGTTTACAAAAAAATCAATGTTTTGAGTTGAAAATAGTGGAACCCAACGGCTAACAGTTAGCTTAATATATAACAACAATATCTCTTTTTTTTATCAGAGAAGAAAATTGAAGTTGTAGTCTACAAATTGCCCAAAACAAAAGGAATATATATATATATATATGTGGTCACATGCTGAACATGCTACACATCATGTTGTTTCCCATTAAATTCCACAACCGAAAAACAGTCAGGTTAGCTAACACATTATTTTAAGAAACCTGTTGCAGGCCTCATAAAACCGTTGCCTGTGCCACAATTGGCCCTGCAGCCAGAGTGTGGACATTCCTGGTGTAAGAAGATAATAGCAAACAGTAACGATGAGGTAAGGTAGTCATACAACAAACAGACTAATCTCCACATCACATCTGCCCACAGTCTCTGCAGCGATCTGGACCATAAGTCATAAAGCTGGCAGCCTGTTGTTGTCAGCCTGTTGTTGTCAGCCTGTTGTTGTCAGCCTGTTCTGCCGTCGGCCCCACCGACAGGTGCAGCGTCATTAACGCAGCTCGTTTCACCAGCACCACCGCGCGGTCTTCAGCCTCTTTACCACAGTGTGTGTAAAACAGCACATTATCACCCAATTAGCATGACCCTGTGGCTAACGGCTGCTGCTGTCTGACTGCAGTCTGGCTGCCTCCTCCACACACATACACACACACACACACCCTACAGGCCATTTAATGTGCCACTAGAAGTGTACGGTGGTGTGTTCAAGTGCAGTTTGTTCACCCTCAGTTGTATTTTCTCCTTTTTGACAGTTATTGTTGCTAATGTTTTACTGATAGAAAATAAAAAAATATAGATGGCACATATTAAGGTTTTGCCCCCAGCTGCTTTTAAAAACACCAATAGGAAGTCCATAAATGTTGGGGGGAGGGTCAGGATCAGCTCAGGGTGGTGACTGACTCTGTTCTGATTCTGTTCTGATTCTGTTCTGGTTCAGTTCTGATTCAGTCGTTGTTAAGACCACGTGAGAACGACATCGTTGTTGGACCGCGTTGTTAAGACCACGTGAGAACGACATGTTTTTGTCATACCAGGGAAATACTCACATCTATGTTGATCATTTTGAAATACAAATACTTGTGACACACTTATACCTGTGGGTACACAGTAGTGTGGTTTCACACGTTTGTGTTTTCTACACATACCTCAGACTCTGGGATGATTATCCTTAGTTGGCAGGCAGCCATTCGATCAGTCATCGTGTTAATCTGCCCCAGCCTGCCGCCTGAACACACACACACACACACACACACACGTATTTTGAAATTGTGTAGTATTTCCTGGTGTACTCCTTGCTGAAGGTAAGCATGGCGTAGTATTTCTGTCAGTGGGATGTTTGTCATTTGAATCACTGAAGGTCATCAAAGAACAGTTTCAGGTCGTGTCCTCGTCTGTGCGGCGTTTTTTTCGACCACGCCGGGACATTTTCATTCGTCAGGCTCCACCTCATGACCTGAGGCGGTGCACACTGACGCTCCTTCTCCTCTCTCCTCTGTGCTGTAATGAAAAGCAGAGGGAGATTCTGTCGTCAGCTGCTAATAATTCAATATTAGGCCCACATGGTATTCTCTTATGGGGCTTTGATGGACACCAACCTGGGTGCAGGATTCACTGTACCGTGCTGTCATGGAGGCTCTGTTACATTTTAGACTAGATCCCTGAATCCATGTGCATTTGTCACCGGGTTCTTGTTCACCATAGAAAAAAACAATGTTTTTAAAATGGTGCTCCGTAGCACATGGGTGATGTTGGCCACTCTGACATTAACTATCGGAGTTGATTTAAACGAAGGAATGTTCAAAAGTTTCAAAAACAAGTACAGCTTCAAACTCCATGTGACCCAAAGGTTTTTCTAGTATTTTAATATTTTAATTATTTTTATTTTAGTATTTTTTATTATATATTATTTTATATAATATATAATATATAATAAAAATATATATTTTATAAATTATAATATATTATATAAAAATATATAAATGTGTTTTTATATTAAAAAAATTATAAATATATATTATTTTATATATTTATAATTATTTTATTATATATAATCTATGAAATTACTTAATTTTTTTAATGATTCAGACAACTTTTTGCAAATTGGTTTGAAGAAAAAAAATTAAACGTTTATCTAAAATCATCACATATTTTTCTAAATATCAATTGAAAAAAACAAACTCGTTATTAAGACAACTATCTCTTGAAGACATGCGTCCCATCGAGACCATAAACCTTTTGTTGTCCATGGGGTCGATCTATTGATCCTCGATTTCAAAAGAACAGAACACAGACTAGGAGCGTGACAGAACTTATTGACAAGTTTATTCCTTGTTCTTAAAATAAGAGTTTCCGTCACAGCTGTTGGTTTCCAGGATGATTTGAGGGGAATTTTTTACCAATGTGATTCAGTTCAAAGTTGCCAAACACACAGTTACATCCAAAAAAACATCTGGTGTTAGCTTCAGATTAGCAGCTTTATTGTTAGCTGCTAAACGACGTGCAGATGTAGCGCTTCAACGTACAGTCCCATGTATTCCAGTGACTGCAGCTTGATCATGTGACATCACAGAGATTGGAGGCGACACTGGATTTTGACACAATGTTTTTAACTGTTTTCATACAAATGAATGGAATCCATTAAAGTCCAGCCTCTGATTTTTGATCGGTTACATCACAATACAAGACAACTTTAACTTTTTTTTTTTTTCATGCCTCACGGTGCCTTTTATTTCTTTGCTCTGCAGCAGGAAACACCAGCATCGTGTTTAGTTTTTCATTTAAAACAATGGCTCAGTGTTCAGTGTGTTCTTCCTGGTTTGAATTTGTAAATGTGAATAAAGCGCTGGCTCACAGCTCGGGTTGTTTGTCACCCTCTTGCACGATGTGGCCTCTGAAGCCCAAACTTCTTGATTTTTTTTAATGCAGTTCCATCGACTGTGGTTTAAGATTAAACTGTAACGACAGTTGAACTCGGTCCTTACTTTTGAACTGCTATAAAAATGCTAACTTTTGTCTCTGTTTCCCATTTTTGCAGGGTCTGAATTTCTCCAAGACCCCAGTGTGTTGGCCGCCACATCATGGAACACCTCCAGTGATGGTAAACACACACACACACTCACACTATCAAACAAACGCTTTCAAATAAAAGCTCATCCTTGACTGTCGCTTCTTCTGCTCCAAGACGACTGAGGAAAGAAAAAACACACACACACACGTGTTACATTACAATAACACAGTAATCATATTTTCACGGTGCATTAAACATATGCAGCATTGAGCTACAACTTCTCCATTTATCGTCTTTAATTTAATATCAGTGTGAGTGTGTTTTTAAACAAACTCCTTCACTTTAATGATCACCTCAAGTTTCCTAAACTGCTGCCGTGGTCCAGGCACGGACGGACGGCCGCTGTGGAGGATAATTAATGGAACAAATTACACGTTGATCTACTCAACATGTGGTAGCCGAGCCACAGGTGCACCTCATTTCTCCGAGCTTTTCGCTGACCTACTTCGAGCCGTCTGAAGCAGAAGCGTAACGTAGCGTAGATGGCTCCAAATGTGCTTGTGATTTAGGGACATCTTCAAACATTTTGCTCCAATGTGAGTTTCAGTAAAAGTTTCTTTCTTCTGACATCTGATTGCCTTATTTTATCATGGCGGGCAGTTTGTCTCCTGCGCGACGCTGAAATGAGGACAAGGTGCAGCGGAGTTGGCTGCACATGGGCTGCAGGAGCGGGTCAGAGGAGAGAGCTTGTGGAACAGCTGGAGTAGAAGGAGAGACGGCCGCAAAGTTTCTGTGTCTGTGGAATAATGCCTTACGACAGTACTTCTCAAATAGTTTGGCGGGTCAATACATACGTTATTGGGTTCTCAATAAGATGTTCTGTCGCAGTTTGTCTGACAACTGTTCGACTTATATCATTTTAAGGATTATACTTCTGTGCACTGATCCTGACTCTGGATTACAGATCATTCACAGTAAATAACTGTTGTCGTAATAATTCTAATTCTAACCGTACTTCAACAACAACAACACAGATTATGTCATTGTTTCAGTCGTGGAGAAAATGGAAGACAGTCATGAGAACAGAGGCCCATTGACTCGGTGACTCCGTCGTTGTACAGATGATTCACTTCACTGACTGCTGTTGTCAGTCTTTAGTTCCTACAATGATCTAATCTCCCCTCCAGTCCTCATTTATCCACGGCCCTTGAAAAGCAAGAAATCTCTAAAGACACCGTGACTGTGCGGATCGTCGTTCATCACGGTCGATCGATCCTGAACCTTTGCTTTTGTTTCCTTCTCATTTTGTCTCTCTGGTTTAACCTCAAACCTCGTTCTGCCACAACACTGAAAACAACACACACAAACAGGGGCTGTTCAAGGAAGACAGTAGTCCCTGGACTGGACTGAGCAGTCGAGGCAAGATAATCATTATGGTCAACATGTTTGAAGAGTCATAACTACAGTGAGAGGACGTTGTTATTTTCTTCCCTGAACAAAACAAACATCCAATATGGAGCTCTGCGCTGGGCCGTCGTGCAGCCATGTGTTCACGGTGCTGAATCTCTGAGGCCCAGGGCTAACATCTGGTTCTTATCTGATGGACGGATGGTAACTGTGCCCCTTGTTTTGTCTGCAGGCAGTGGATGGTTTTGATTGACCAAGCAGACAACATTCAGGTAGCGTGGCTCTATCAGCACGCATCAGTAGCAGGAAGTTATCGCGCTGAAAGAGGCTCATTATTGGGTGAAAATCAGGGGTGACAATAGTTTACTGAAGACACTTCACCCCAGGTTTCAATTTATTATTCTTTCCCCTTTTTCTCTTTGTTTGTTTTTGTGTAATTTCACTTTTGGCCTTTAGTTCTGGCCTTCTGTTCTGAACAGGAACACTCTGTGGTTGCCAAATATGCCTTTTTTAGGCACTTTTTTCGTAATTTCATCAGAAAGTATTGCTAGCAGCAAGTTACCTTTTTTAATACTTGTTTGTTCCTCGCTCTACGTCGCCCTCAACCTACGATGTTTCACCATTACATCGCCACACCTCATATTTATAAATTTATTAAGAAAGTCTTGTTCCGTTTCACTATTACATTTATTAAGAAAGTCTTGTTCCCATGAGGAAGATGGTTCTGTTTATGTTTGCTGGTGGTTTGTCACATTTTTATGGGACTTTTGACCCTTCATCATGTCTTACAGTCCTCTGATGACATAACTTGTCAGTCCACGTTGTAAAGTCCATGTAAAAGCGCTAGTTCAACAGGTTCTGATTTCCTACATATTTAGCGATATGTAATATTCGATTGTATGTAAGTTCCGACTTTTGTCTCAAAACATGGCGTTACGTCGCCACTAGAAACCGAACCCTGACGTGTTTATCTGGGCTTACCTCTGTTTGTCACATGAAGCATTCATCAGTAACACCTCCTCATCCCAGACTAACACGTTTACATGAATTCAGGGTCAATTATCAGTCAGACTAACTCAGTAATCTGGTTTGCTCTAATGTAAACACAGCCACTGTAGCAGCTGCATGTGCTACGCTAGCAGCGCAGCCTCCCAGTGTTTGGAGCTGGTGCCGTGTTAAAGGCCTGAGTGCCCGGTCCTGTGTTGTTCCTGTTGTGTGTTGAAAACACACCACCACCATATCCACTTATAGAACACAGTGTTGTTGTGGACATGAGGAGGTATAATGTAACTTGTCTAGTTCGGAGCTGGGATAATTTGTGTGTGTGTTGTGGTCGTGTGGGTGTGTGTGCGTTTACATTTGTGTGCTTGCGTGTGAGTGTTTGATTGTACCAAACCGCTGCGAGAAAATGCAGGCTGATGACAGGGCGCCATTTAGCTCGCAGCCACATTAAAGGGACGGTCCGCAGAGAAGAGTTAGAGTTTCACGGCGCTCCTGCCAACTGCACCACAACACTCATCGAGCGACAATTACATACAGAGTGGCTTTGTTACACAGAGCTTGGCAGACGGCGTCTCTGCAGCTAAATCATTTGTTGCTCTCTGTCTCCTCCTCACTTTTCTTTTGTTGTCTCTTTATTTCACCTTGTCGTGTCGAGTCGCTCTAGTGTCTTTATTGACAGTTGATGCGATATTTACGACGAGCGCCGCCACTGACAACAACCAGGGAATTAGACAGTAAAATATACAGCAGGTTATACAGCAGAACAGTGACTCCTGTTGTTATAATAATCATACATCATTAATGAGTCATTTGGACTTGAGGAAGTCTTGTGTTAATAGCAGATCTGCAGCGCCAAGTATTTGGTTCATCTGGTAAACGTCTTTGTTTTTTTAACCACAAAAAGGAAATTAAAACACACACACACTCACACAGAGGTCAGCACGGACAGTGATGACCTCAAATGTTCCGTATGTGTGTGTTTGCACTGCTAGGTGAGTGGTGTCAACACGTGCGTGTTGAATGTGGATGCGTCAGTTTGTGTGTTGTGTGACTGAAGGAAGGTATCTGCATGTACTGCAGTATTGTGGATATTACAATTTCTGTTTTGTAAAAAATATTTGTGAAAAATGCAAAAAAAAAAAAACACGGTTGTTTGCCTTTTAATGCAGTATCTGTTAGATGCATTTATTTTTTTAAAATTGGTTAAAAATTAAAAAGAAAAGGTAGTCAATGTCTCTATGCTGATGACATCCCTCTTTATATAAAGTTTTGCAACAGAAGTCAACCAAAAAATTACTAAAATGCGTTACAATAGAATTGATTAAAACACATTTAAAATCTTAAACACGAAGAATAATGATTTCACATTTGTGTTTGGCTAATTTTTATTTTTTTTATTTTCTATGTCCTGCAGTTTTAATGTTAAGACAAAAAAGGCTGCTCAAAATTATGCAATAAGTCTTTGTAGGTTGTGATCAAGATTATATGATATTGTGTTCTGGGCCTTGACCGAGTTGATCTGGGTCATAAGTTGATGTAGAATATAGAAGAGAAATGTTGAAACAGATCAGTAGTTGACCCCATCCCCCCGACCCCCCCACCCTTCGTAGGTCGACTCATCACTGCTTTCATCTCTGATCCTTTTGAACTCTTGACTCATGACTTTAAATATCAAATTAAAAGAAGTTCAGACCAGATCAGTCTGAGACTAGGAGTAAAAAGGTCAAGAAAGAAACTCAGTATTTACTGCAACTTAGATATTCAGCCACTTAGTTGTTCCCAGATTCTCTCACAAAGTTTGGGGTTTTCAAAGATCAGCCACTTGGTTGTTAGTTGTTCGCAGACTCTCTCACAAAGTTTGGGGTTTTCAAAGAAAATGATTATATTTTCTTAAAGCCCCTGCTTGACCTTACATGCAGTATATCAATATTTAAATCAAACGTAACCTCTGGTGCACACTTCTAAGATAGATACGTTTTTTTTCTTACCCATGCAGTGACATACTGCATTAACAGGAAGGGAGGAACAGATATATATAAAACAGAATGTGAGTGCAGGAGGTAAAATCCATAGAAGTATTTATTATTTGCACTAATTACTTTACCGTTGAGTAATTCTTTTTTCTGACCGCAGTGGAGCAAAATGTGGAAACAGAGGAGGGAGCGGAGGGTGTGAGTGAAGGGGGAGAGAGGAGGACAGATAAAGAGGGGGTGGATGGGAGGACAAATGAGGAGAAAGTAGTGGTTGTGGACAGTGGGAGTCGCCTCATATTGTCACACACTTGTTAGGATAACGCTCGCTATGTTAAACCCGAGATTTAGGGAGGAACGCACACACACACACACACATACACACACATACACACATACAGAGGCTGTAAGCTTTTGAAAAATGTTCCACATTTCATTCTAGCACAAACATCTTAGACACTTGGTGCATTTGAATAAATCCTGACGTGAGTTATTCAGTGAACAGCAGCTGAATGGTTGTCATACAGACAAGAAAAAGCAGCGTTTACAGGGTTTATTTCTTGTTTATTTTAAATGTAAAACCCACTTTTATAAACCATAGAATTACAGTCGGGGTCTTCACCTCGTCTTTCTATTAGTTTTGTGTTTTTTGGCCTGAAAACATAGGAACCCTTCGGTTGAAGACATTTGAGAATTTAAGAATTTTGAATCTTTACATTAGGGCAGTGTTAGCATCTGTTGGAAATTCTATCTTCATTTAAGGGAAATCTATCCATCCATCCATCCATCCATCCATCCGTCCATCCACCTATCTAATTAATATTCATGATAACACTACACATGACAGCGTGTACTCTCATGTAGACCATGTACTTCTATACCATCACGAGTCCGTGTACAGCGTATTTCTTGGTTTCCTGTTTGTACTTTTTCCCCGTTGTTTGTTTTGGCCGACGGTGTGTGACCAGGAGTGTTTCTTCATACCTAAGACTGGTTTTGTGGTGGAGGGAACTTTCCGCTGACTTTAACACTGGTGTTTTCCTTGCACATTAAACTCTTAGGTGGCCCGTCAGACTGTTTTGGTCCTGACCGCCAACAAAAACACAGTCCCACAGATAATCATGCAAAAATGTTTTGCTTTGTCTTTTGTATCCTGGTCCAAACATTAGGCAGACTTATGTATTTGTTTCTCCTGAAAGTCCTTTCTTTTGTGGTTCTGCTCTTCAGTCAACACACAGGTACTGCAATTATACTACAGTTTGGAACGTAGCCCTCTCTCCTGGGACAGAGACATGATGGAGCTGATATAGCTTAACTCACCAGTCCAATGTCCCATCAGTATAGCCGGTCCAGCCACCAGTCATAATACTGTCATATTTTTGACTAAATGTAATATAATAATTAGACAACTTTATTTTCTTTTCAAACTTGGCAAATGACTTTTT